GGGCTCTGAGATCAATTTCTTCCCTGACGGGATGCCTTCTGAAGTCCTTGAGTTCATCGGTAAGCCCCTCATTTCCTGGGCGTCGTGTGGATTGGGTTGAATCCTCCTCCAATTCATCTCCCTTCCTCCGTCTAGACAAACCTCGCTGGAGGTCATCCAGAGCCAATGGCCTGGCCTTCCTTGAATGGTTGTCATGATGATGCTTGCTGGCTCTGGGTCGCTTTGGGGCCCTAGAGCTTTCTGCCTTGTTGTTTAGGTGGTTTCTTAGATCCTTCGTTCCCGCCTCCCGGGCGGGAAGCCCACGAGAAAGGAATGAATCCCTCGATNGGGAATATCTTCCCGCTCCTTCTCTTTTCTCTTAGATTAGAGAGCTCGGCCTTTGCTGCTTCCCATCTCGTCCTCAATCCTCGAGTATTTGTTTATCCGGGCCATTAGTTCCTCCATATCCGAGGGAGTCTTCTTGGTCAGGGATCGGTACAGGTCCGTGTCCCTTGCCAAGCCGAGCCGGAAAGATGCTACTGCCATGACCTCCGAGCAGCCTTCTACCTCATTAACCTCTTCCCAGTATCGGATGGCGTACTGGCGAAGAGTCTCGGATTCCCTCCTTCTGAGGGTCAGCAATGATCCAATGTCTTTGGGGCGCTTACTCCCCGTAATGAATCGAGCCAGGAACTGCTTCGTCAATTCCTTCCATGACCCAATACTGTTGGGGGGAAGCGCCTCGAACCACTTCATCGCAGAGTCCCCCAAGCTCATAGGAAACACTCGGCAGAGAAACCGTTGGTCCGAATGATAGAGGGACATCATCTGCTTGTATTGCCTGACATGGGCTTCGGGATCGGATTGCCCGTCATAAGTTTTGAACCGCGGCACGACAAACTTTCTTGAAACCTCAATCTCACCGATCTCCCTCGTAAAGGGTGTTTGTATGACTTTGTCCTCGGCCTCATCCTGGACAGCCTTACCCTTTCTCCTGGAGTCTAATCGGGCTCTGAGATCAATTTCTTCCCTGACGGGATGCCTTCTGAAGTCCTTGAGTTCATCGGTAAGCCCCTCATTTCCTGGGCGTCGTGTGGATTGGGTTGAATCCTCCTCCAATTCATCTCCCTTCCTCCGTCTAGACAAACCTCGCTGGAGGTCATCCAGAGCCAATGGCCTGGCCTTCCTTGAATGGTTGTCATGATGATGCTTGCTGGCTCTGGGTCGCTTTGGGGCCCTAGAGCTTTCTGCCTTGTTGTTTAGGTGGTTTCTTAGATCCTTCGTTTCCGCCTCCCGGGCGGGAAGCCCACGAGAAAGGAATGAATCCCTCGATCCTTCGCCAGAGGCGGCAAACTCGTTGAGCCGGCTTAGGACGTTTACATTGTCCTTTTCCAACTGTCGTAATCTATTGCCGAACTTTCCTTCAATCACTTCTGCCAGCTGACGAGCCAAGAGGGCTGATCCCCCTGACCTGATTCCCATACTGGTTTGAGGAGTAACTCCTCTTGACCGAGTAGAGGCACTTTTATTCATATCGGTGTGATCTCTTCCTTCGTGATGACAGGGAGCTTGTAACTCGAGACTCCTTTGGTGGGGGTCTTTCCCTTTCTATCGAGTGTTCACCATGGTCACTGTTCTTTATAGAGAAAAAACTAAGAAAACTAGTCGTTTTCCACAGACGGCGCCAGATTGTGCGTGCAAAATCCTGCACAATATAAANTTGCCCGTCATAAGTTTTGAACCGCGGCACGACAAACTTTCTTGAAACCTCAATCTCACCGATCTCCCTCGTAAAGGGTGTTTGTATGACTTTGTCCTCGGCCTCATCCTGGACAGCCTTACCCTTTCTCCTGGAGTCTAATCGGGCTCTGAGATCAATTTCTTCCCTGACGGGATGCCTTCTGAAGTCCTTGAGTTCATCGGTAAGCCCCTCATTTCCTGGGCGTCGTGTGGATTGGGTTGAATCCTCCTCCAATTCATCTCCCTTCCTCCGTCTAGACAAACCTCGCTGGAGGTCATCCAGAGCCAATGGCCTGGCCTTCCTTGAATGGTTGTCATGATGATGCTTGCTGGCTCTGGGTCGCTTTGGGGCCCTAGAGCTTTCTGCCTTGTTGTTTAGGTGGTTTCTTAGATCCTTCGTTCCCGCCTCCCGGGCGGGAAGCCCACGAGAAAGGAATGAATCCCTCGATCCTTCGCCAGAGGCGGCAAACTCGTTGAGCCGGCTTAGGACGTTTACATTGTCCTTTTCCAACTGTCGTAATCTATTGCCGAACTTTCCTTCAATCACTTCTGCCAGCTGACGAGCCAAGAGGGCTGATCCCCCTGACCTGATTCCCATACTGGTTTGAGGAGTAACTCCTCTTGACCGAGTAGAGGCACTTTTATTCATATCGGTGTGATCTCTTCCTTCGTGATGACAGGGAGCTTGTAACTCGAGACTCCTTTGGTGGGGGTCTTTCCCTTTCTATCGAGTGTTCACCATGGTCACTGTTCTTTATAGAGAAAAAACTAAGAAAACTAGTCGTTTTCCACAGACGGCGCCAGATTGTGCGTGCAAAATCCTGCACAATATAAAAAACGATAACAGATCTCTCCCTTGGTGAACTCGAGTGAGCCAGTTGAGTGACCAACCACGCTGCTTGGAACAGCCTGCGAGATCAGGTGGTAACTTGAAACGGCAAAGGGAGGCCCTAGGGGAGCGGAAGAACGATCCAGTAAGGCTGAAAGAGGTTCCTGGAACAAAGAAGAACAAGTTAGAAGGGCGCCGGAGTGTTTTTCGGCGTATCCCCTCCGACGATCTAGTCAGTCTTTGAGAAAGAGAGAGGAAGGAGAAAACACTGATTGTGTATTGTAGTAAAGAGTTTTTTGTTGCATACCCGTCTTGCCTTTTGCAAAGGGTATTTATACCTCAAAAGCTCATGATTGCTGTCAGTGTAGTCAGTAGATGATTATTAGGTACAGGCAGTGTGCGCACTGATTCTGATGAGGAATGTCTTCACTTCTTAACTGCTCGGGGTCCCGAACAATCAATGCTGGGTCATCGGGATGCCGACGGTACAATGTACTCCTCTCGGGGAGGATGCAATAAATGCTCTGTATTAGGAGCATTTATTGTCTTTCATTTCCGAGCCTTACCGCATTGAATGCGGTCTCATCAAGAGAATGGTGTAATTAATCGTTTGCTTTCCCAAGTCGCGTGTCAGCAACGGCATGCGGTTTCTCTGTCTTCGATGTGATATCATACGCCACACGTCCATCCCCCATTGGCTGTGGCCCCTGCATTCCAGTACGTTCTGACACTAATTGTGTAAGACGAGGTCATGATAAATAGCCTAGGCTTATGACCTGTACGTCAATAGCTTATCCTGGAGTAGAGGAAGTGTCCAGGACGAGGTACCTCTCGGCCCCGAGGAAAGGCTCATCTCGGAACCGAGGGAGGAATACCGACCGAGGTACTATATCAGACCGAGGTTACGTGTTGGTTGTAACTCGTACTGAAATGCCATGATCCTATATGACGAGTACCTCAGAGGCGAGGACCTTTATGCACCGATGGTGCTTGATCTTAGTAACAGTATTTTGACAAATACCGAGGACACGTATCTTCATCATGGAGTATTTCAGAAAAGTCTCATCAAATACGTTTAGCATTCCAGTTACACACATATGGCAGTGGTGCTGTGGTACTATTTGCGTTGTACCTACAGGCAAGATCTTTCGAACACCAACTTCATTATTGGAAGATGGATCATCGGTCAATCGACAATTACTATAGAAAGGTGATATCCTAATTTTGGTGTTGTCATAAGTTATACCGAAAGCATGCAGCATCTCAGTCTCTTTGGCCACTTTCTTTATTACCTTCTTGCATATTCTTTCCAGGTAGAATTTGCTTATTGATCTCACTGTTTTTATAGGTGGCAATGCCTTTAAATGGGAATGGATGTTTGTCAGCAAAGATGATTAAGTAATAGAATAGAATTGCAAATTTGATCTAAGAACCGGATAAATCAACTTTTAGTTGCTCAGAGTCATTGACCCTCGTGGTGTGGGGGCCACCTAAGGTTGTGCATCCCAGTTGGGCTGAGCGATGGCTTGAGACTGTAACAACTAACGTGGTGGTGGGAGTAATCTATTGGAAGCCCACATAAACTGGGTCAAGGCAGGGGCCATCAAGTCGTTTGGGATTAAAAAGGATGGATTGTGATAACCCAATTCCTCATTGACTAGTGAGGTAGATGTGAAGCGGTACATAAGTGTAAGTTTTGAGCTTTTATTGTCTAACACGTTTTAAAGTTGTGCGGACCTAGTCCAAGACGGGCAATATTGTACAGTATGTGTTCAAGGCGTTTCAACTAGCTAATTCATAAATCTTCCAAAGTGGACTGTCTTAAATGGGTTTTTGGTTTTTCCTAGGTAAAAGCTTTATTTGTTGTAGTGAAGTATGAGGGGCAATGATTTTGGTATTTTATTTAAATTTGGTCAATATCTTTCTATTATGAAATTTTTTCAAGATTTTAATTTATTTCTTAATTTGATTAGGATACTGCTTTATCTTAGGTTTTAGTTTAGTTAAGATTTTATTCTATTTTAGTTTAGTTGAGTTTCCTAGTTTGATTAGTACTCTGGCACTATAAACTGCTGACTGTGTAACCTATCGAAGAAGTCTTTTGAGGAAAAAAAAAGGCATAAGAAAGTCAAATAAAAAGAAGGTATACCAATCTAAATTGGATTGCGCAACCACCTCTCTTCTCTCTACTTGTAGGTGGACACTATCTTATATATCCAGCAAGTTTTCTCTTGTGAACATGAAAAGGAGAAGAATGGTTAGTCTCACTCTAAAAGCCCTAGAGAAGCACAGTAGAGGGATCCAGCTCCCCGATGATATCATCTTTTACGATATACTTACAAGACTTCCTGTGCAATCTCTCTTGCGATTCTGGTGCGTTTGTAAATCATGGTGCTATTTTTTAATGCATAAAAACCCTTCCTTCATTGACCTCCATCTGTCACGTTCCCAGTCTCGGTTTGGTGCCACCAAACTTCTACTCTCTGCTCATGACGGGAAGTTACACTGCTACTATATGTTTCTAGTAGACCTGGAGGAAGGTAGGGTCAGTCAAGCCGTAAGGGTGGCCAATGAGAGACATAGGATGACTAGACGTATATTCTCTGGAAACATAAATGGTCTGGTCTGTTGGGACCAGCCTGGTTCAAGAAACAACAACTGCACTTATATTTGTAATCCTAGCACTCGAGAACTCATGAAACTTCCCATGACTCCCCAAATCATGAATGGCAGTGACATGATCTCTCCATATTTGTCGAGTTATTTAGGCTTTGATCCATCTTCAAAGGAATTCAAAGTGTTGAAAATCCAAGTTCCAAGAATAAAGTATGGTTTATATTTTTGGATTTTCACTTTAGGTGGTAACTCATGGCGACAGATTCATCCTACATTGCCTTATGGTCTTAGTGATTGTGAATTTCAATCGCTGGTTTTGTTGGGACAATGTCAGTGCCTCAATGGTGCATTGCATTGGCTGCTTGCGTACAGGAAAGTGATAGTGGTTTTCAATCTGAGAGATGAGAAGTTTGGTGTAATTCCACTCCCGAACACCATTATATGCCCGAGGACAAAACGGATTGATCTGCTTCAAGTTGATGATCGCCTGCTTGTATTATGTCTCTACACTTCGGTTTTGAAGTATAACACCGAGGTGTGGACGTTGGAGGACTACAAAAACGAGGTTTGGATCAAGGATACGTTTAGCATTTCACCTACACTTGCGTGGCAGTGGCAACATGGTACTGTTTGTGCTGTACCTACAAACATACCAACTTCATTATTGGAATTAGATGAATTATCAGGCTACAAGAAACGTTTAGTATGTTACGATGCAAAGCACAAAAGTTTTCTGATTGTCAAAATCCCTGAATTATTAGAAAGGTGGTATCCTAATTCTGGTACTGTCAATAGTTATATTGAATCCATGCAGCATCTAGTCTATTTGAACACACAATCAACAAAAGAATAATTGAACGTGTATGAGGAGATTAGTTATTGACAGAATGAAAGGTGTGATGCATACCACTTTTTCTTCTTTTCTAATTTTGCTTATAGTTATATCAATGTCTGAATTCCAACTCGAGCTAAATTATTATTAGTGCATGTTTTTATTTATGAAAGTTTTCAAGCAATGCCTTAAAATCCAATTATTTCTATCTTGGTAAGTACAATTGAGTTGGTTGATTTTGTTACAGCAGAATCTTTATTGTACTGTCCCTCTGCTCTCACTATTCTTGCAGGTTCTCGACTCATTTTTATTTGGATTTACTGTTGAAAATTTTTGTGGGAGGTCATCTAGCCTAGCAGTGAGAAGATTTTTTGGAATGCCTCGATGTTTTGTTAGAATGTTTAGTCTTCGGTCTTCTTATCAACTTCAGCTTTATAAGCTTGATCAGATCTTGTAAAATCTGAACTACTGAATCTTAATTCTCTGCTTTTATATGCAATGCACTGTCAGATGTAGAGTTGCCAAGTATGTGTGAATACCTTAGACTTTCAAGCCTTGATAGGAACTACACTGTGTGCAAAGGAAAAATCAGACAAATACGAAAAAAAAATGAAAAAAAGTTAAATGGGATAGATGGAGAAGGAATTGAGAAGATTGTGCACTGTCTTTGTTATCTTCTTACAGCATATTCTTTCCTGGTAAAGTTTGCATATTAATCTCGCTTCTTTTTTTGTACTTCCAAATGTAAAAAACATCAAGTCTATAAATGATGCCAGTTGACGTTGGACTTTTGGCGCTAATGAATATGAATCATTCACTATTTCCAATGGGGCAGGCCGAGCTTGATAGAGCTTCTAGTTTTCCAAATAGAAGAGTTTTGCCACTGAAAGAAAGTGATTTCAGCAATTCAGTGGCAGGGATAAATCAGCCTTCATTGACTTAAAGCTTGAATTCACACCAGAATCAAAGCCAGAGTTCTCTGCTATTGAAGCGTTGATATGGTGAAGATAAAACATTGAAAAGGGATGTTTTCTGATAGTTTAGAGAGTTTTAAGTACATAAAAACGTTAGAGATGCGTTGAAAGTAATTTTTGTTAATCGGTTTGTCCTCTTCCCCTTGTTTTCTGTTCAGAAAGAGTGATTATAGAATGGTAATGTAGTCGAATAATGTGTGTACAAGCGACACAATTCATAAACTCTTGCATATAACAGGCTTTAGAAAAGGTAACTAACATGACAACTTAATTCTAGTCTTGGGGAGGTTGAATCCCAGAATCAAACTCGTGAAGTGTCCCTTGAGCGGATAAGTATTTACCATCATTCCACATATACTGAAGAAAAATGTATAAATCTACAAGATATGTAATGAGAAAAAAGAAAGAAAGATGGAAGAATCACCATGGATACCTTCTTAGATGGGCTCAATCCACATTCGGACCGACCTTGGCTGGCCTCCAGGCCAATGTCTTGGGGCTCCCGGAGCCAGTCTCCTGGCCAAGGCCCTGCACATGCGCTATTTTTATATTTTTTGCTTTTTGGACTTCAAATATTTATTTTTTATAATTTCAGACATAGAAATGTAGAAAAAATATATTAAGCAAACAATTTCTTAGAAACATGTATGGTATCCTATCGCTAATATTGGACTAGCGTCGAGCCGAAGGTGGGCCACCCGACTAATCTCCCCCCCACCCCCCCTCCTTCTTGGCCATCTGGTTGTCCAGTGGAGGACCATTGTGACATTTTTTTTCTGGGTCAGCTAATGTTGTGACGTCTTCAAATGAACAATTCAATTTGGACACGAAGTAGCCTTGGCCTTGATAGAGCGTCAATGGAAGTGTTCAAGTTGTCTAAGCTATTTGAATTTAATCACTTTGCTTATATATATACTAGCCAGCTTAGCCTATTTTCTGACATAAATAAAACAGAAAGGAAATAAACAGTGTGGGGAAAAGAAGATTTTGATCAATATGTATGTGACGAGGCCTCTCTCTCACTACATAAGGTTTCCTGAAGGTCCGAATTCGGGTTATTTGGTACTCCAAGATGATGAATATCAGACTTATTCTTGTTTTGGATTGTGCAAGAACCGGTACCTGGCAGAACTGCCGTTCCCTCAGAACAAGGATCTGACCATTCGATATTACACAAGTGCAGGCTATGTCCAATATATGTCTGACGATGATGTTGCCTTCATTCCAGTTCTTAATCAACCATTGTCTTCCAATCGTTACTACGCGATAATGCCTCATGGGACACACAAAGGGTATGCATGCTTCACTCAACGAACTCCATTTTCTTCTTCTTCTTCCTAAATGAGAGGCTCTAGGATCATGTTAGGACACGAGGAAGTGATCTCAATCATAATATATTAGGACACTTTTACTTCTTGTCTATCTCATAGGTGAGTAATACCCGAACAGATCAATCCATTTTTGTATTAATAGTATCGCGTAACAAAAAGGTTTCAGGATGATAAACCCGATTTAGGTCCTTTCATGCTCTTAGCAGGAGTATAATAATGGGGTAACTGGTTTAATACCATGGATTTGACATAGACAAGTTTTGATTAAATACTTCTACTTCATTTGGCTTTTAGGGAAGCATACACTTGTTCAAAGGAGGAAGACAAGGCCACTTGCTGTTTTTGTCGCCGCATCCGAGATGTAAAATCAAGGCCATTTAATCCAAATGACATATATCAGCAATATGAGATTGCTCCTTATGAAACATGTTGCAGTACCAAGGGTGACTTTTATGCCAAGTCGGTAGCACCTGATGGTTTCCCTCCAAACATCTTGAGGAGAAAAGGGTGGAAAATTTATGGTAGAACTCCCAAAAACTACAAATTAAGCGAAGCTCAAGGCCTCAATGCTGCCCTCCGTGCACGCCTTCCAGAATTTAACTTCCCATTGTCCTATAAGTGCTCTGAAGGCATCGTCGTAGGGAAGTGGTATTGTCCTTTCATATTTGTAAAGGAAGGAATTTTGAAAGATCAAATAAAAAGATCGATGTTTTATGAGATGACACTCGAGCAAAGATGGGAGCAGATTTTCACATGTGAGAATAATTCCAGTGAAAGAAAGATGGTGTTTGTTGATGTTGTTGTTCAAACAGAAGTTGCCTCGGTTGCTGGCAAGGAATCCGTGTGGAATGAGAGAGAGGTGGTCGATGGGGCGATATGGTTTAGGAGTTTTGGCAATATGGGAGGAGGAGTAAGTGTGGGATTAAGGGTAGAAATTATTCAAAGAATGAAGTGGGAGGAAGAAAGAGCAGGCTGGCTAGGTGGGGAAAAAAGGCAAGCAAGGGTGAAGAGAGTGGAGGAGTTTGGAGGGGTTGGTGACTGGAGGAAATTTGGATGCTATGTGTTGATTGAGAGGTTTGTATTGAAAAGAATGGATGGAAGCTTGGTGATGACTTGTGATTTCAAGCACACTCATCAGATCAAAAGCAATTGGGAATGAGATTATGTGTTATCTTTGTTTTATAGATATATCCTCAAGAGTTTTTGTATTTAGTGATGAGTTTACCCTTTCTTATTTTTCAAAATTTTATTAGATTACATATTCGTTATACCGATACATTTAATTCGCTTATTGGTTAAAATTGTGAGAGTTGTAGAGGATATCCACAAAGATTAAAAACAAAAAAATTTCCAGGTGAGTGCTTCCTGGGAAGAAAAATGAGGCACTGATTTTAGAGGGAGCTGCTCTAAAAAGGAAATCCATTGACAAGGGCCCTAAATCTATTTTCCATTGTTTTCATATACAAAATAAAAATACATAATTAAATAATTTTATATTTATGTACAAGTATTCTTGCCCAAATTGGAACCCTTAATTTTTTGGACTGGCCAATTGGACCATGACCACTATTATTGAGGAAGGCTGATAATTTAGCTGAATTACTCAGACTCGGTTTGGACTCAGCTTAGTTAAGACTCTGCAAAATGTTCGGCTTGAGCTCACAAATATTTGCCCTTTTTTATGTGAAATAGTCGAGTAACTCGAGCTCGGCTCAAGTTCGGTTTGTTTTGGATTCAACACGGACTCTACTCATTTTCTAAGGCTCGTTTTAAAAAACAATCTTAATAAACTCGACTCGATTGTTAATCCTATCTCAAGTACCAGGGTAACATGTTCAAATGAACAACTCAATTTGGTCATGAATAGCACTGTGGTACTGATAAAAAAATTTATATCATACTTTTTTAATGACTTTGGACTTTTGATCTGCTTTTCATTTATTTTTGATTGTTGATATTCTTTACGCGTGTTAAATTTTTATGGAAGAAAAAAAAGATGTATGATTTAATTTGCGGGTAATATTGTTGGACATGATAATCAGTAGTAGCCATCAGAAGGAGAAGTTGGCAAATGTCAGTCACAATCCCATAGTCTTGATGAAACATCCAGGAAAGACCTCTGGATATTAACAGAAAACAGTCACTTTCTACAAAATTGTGGTGGCTGACATATGGTGTAGCTAATATCCTTGATATTTTAAAAGATCAAAACAATTTAGTCAACAGTCATTTTCTTTGTGAGATATATCTAGGGTTAACGATTTTTAAAACAACACGAAGTCATAGGGTATGAACTCAATTTTGGTGGATTTGATTTATTCGAGTTGATTGGGTTTGTTAGACTTATTTTATCAATGAATTGATACAAATTAAATATACACAATAACATGAATTTAATACTAATACAGCTTAGACATATCAATTCGTTAGACTATGACCCACAGCCAGTCGTAGAATATGCATGCACGAAAGGATCATCACAATTCACAACTAGATTATGAACTAAGTGTTGGGAAAATAGGCTTTCCCACAAGTGTAAATCAATGGAAGCAATATAAATAAAATAACAGAAAATAAATAAGCACACAAGATTTACGTGATTCCCTCAAATAACTTGAGGTACATCCACGACGACCGGTAGGTCAGTTTCTTCCACTATCACCAAATCAGATTACAAAGTGGCCAAAAGGCATAAGCCTTACAAACACACCAAGGTGTAAATCACAAGAGGAAAATACCTCACAAAATAAGTGAACCAAATCTCCAAGAACAAACCGCAAGAAACCCAAATATCAAGTGAAGAAATATTACCCACTTGAAGAACAAATTTGCAGATTTTTCTGGCACCAAAAAGGAGAAGAAGAAGGCTGAATTTTTGTTGAACCAAAGACTGCCGAAAATATGTCTTCTTGCCAAACCAACAGAGAAGAGATGAACCAAAGAAAAAGACAAAACTTATAGTCTTTGGTGGCTGCCAAATTCCTTTTAACTTGAAGACTCCAAACCAAGTCTTGGATAAGAGTCCTACACGGGTAAGCCACCAAAAAATTAGCAAATTGATGAGTCCCACAAAGGAGGGAAACCCAACAATTCTCCCCCTCCCGACTTATGTGGAGGATTCGACCATTCCCGCCAAAAGTCGACACTTCTCATGCTTGTCCTTAGTCAATGCCTTAGTTAACATATCCGAAGTGTTATCATCAGTGTGAATTTTTTCAAGTTGTAACAACTTATCATTCAAGACATCACGAATCCAATGATATCTAACATCAATATGTTTCGATCTCGAATGAAATGAAGAATTCTTGCTCAAGTGGATTGCACTCTGACTATCACAATGAAGGACATACCTTTCTTGTTTCAAACCCAACTCTTGTAAGAATTCCTTCAACCACAATAATTCTTTGCAAGCTTCAGTGATGGCGATGAACTCAGCTTCTGTGGTGGAGAGAGCAACACATTTCTGTAATCTTGATTGCCATGCCACTGCTCCCCCTGCAAAAGTAATCAAATAACCAGAAGTAGATTTTCGACTATCAACATCACCAGCCATATCAGAATCTGTGAACCCATCAAGAATAGGCTCGCCTTTACCAAAACACAAACTCATCTTTGAAGTGCCCTGAAGATACCTCATAATCCATTTCACTGCTGCCCAGTGTTCTTTCCCTGGATTAGACAAAAATCGACTGACAACCCCAACTGCGTGAGCAATATCCGGTCGAGTACAAACCATGGCGTACATCAAAGAACCAACTGCTGAAGCATAGGGAATTTTCTGCATCTCATTTCTCTTTTCATCACTTGTAGGACACTGACTTGAGCTTAGTTTGAAGTGGCCTGCAAGTGGACAATTAACAGGCTTTGCTTTGTCCATATTGAACCTCTCAAGAACCTTTTTAATATAATTCTCTTGAGATAACCAAATCAGCCCATGTGATCTGTCACGAACAATTCTCATCCCAAGAATTTGCTTTGCTGGACCCAAATCCTTCATGGCAAAGGACTTACTCAACTCTGACTTCAACTTGCTAATCTTACTCGTGTCTTGGCCCACAATAAGCATATCATCAACGTAAAGCAAGAGAATAATAAAATTACCATCTTTATATTTCTTCACAAACACACAATGGTCTGAAGTGGTTCTTGAATACCCATTCTCACTCATGAAAGCATCGAATTTTCTGTACCACTGCCTCGGTGCTTGCTTCAATCCATACAAGCTCTTCTTCAATTTGCAAACTAACTGATCATTACCCTTATCTTTGAAGCCCTCAGGTTGCTCCATATAAATTTCCTCTTCTAAGTCACCATGCAAAAATGCGGTCTTCACATCAAGCTGCTCAACTTCTAAATTCATACTCGCAGCTATACCAAGCACAGTTCGAATGGAGGACATCTTCACAACTGGTGAGAAGATCTCATCAAAATCAACTCCCTTTCTCTGATCAAAACCTTTCACGACAAGTCGTGCCTTGAATCTCGGTTGAGAACTGTTCCCATCATTCTTTCGTCTGAAGACCCATTTATTTTTCAAAATTTTCTTCCCTTTAGGCGGCTTCACCAAATCATAGGTGTGATTCTCATGCAAAGACTTCATTTCCTCTTTCATTGCCTTGAACCATTCAGTTTTGTTCTCATGCTTCAAGACTTCTTGATAAGTCCCTGGCTCCCCCTGATCTGATATCATCACATACTCATTTGAAGAATATTTTCTGGATGGCTGTTTTTCTCTAGTAGATCTCCTTAACGGTGTCTGTGGTAGTGGCTCTTGGGGTGGTTGCTCCCCCTCAATCTCTGGCTCAACATCATCTTCTGCTGCATCATCATGAGGTGTTTGCACTTCCTCATCAATATCATGAACAGCAGAGGGATTGAGAGGATCTAAATCAACAAGATCATCAGTACTAGACTCAGCTGACTCAAGCTTGTCGATGTCTTCAATAGTCTGATCTTCCAAGAAAACAACATCTCGGCTTATGACAACTTTCTTGTCAACTGTATCATACAACCTGTATCCAAATTCTTCATGCCCATAGCCAAGAAATATGCATTGCTTTGCTTTTGGATCAAGCTTGGACCTTTCATCTTTTGGAATATGAACAAAAGCTCTGCAGCCGAATACCCTCAAGTGATCATAGGAGACTTCCTTCCCTGTCCAAACTTTCTCTGGCACATCACCATTCAACGGAACTGAAGGAGACAAATTGATAAGATCAACTGCGGTCCTCATTGCCTCACCCCAAAAGGATCTTGGCAATTTAGAATGTGAGAGCAAACATCTGACTCTCTCAAGAATGGTGCGATTCATTCTCTCTGCAACCCCGTTCTGTTGAGGTGTCTTTTTAACTGTCTTTTCATGCCTGATACCATGATTTGTGCAATACTGATCAAATGGTCCAATATATTCACCACCATTATCCGAGCGAACACATTTCAACTGTCTACCTGTTTCTCTTTCAACCTTGGCCTGAAAAATCTTAAACACATCTAGAACTTGATCTTTAGTTTTCAGTGTATAAGCCCAAACTTTTCTAGAGTGATCATCAATAAAAGTGACAAAGTATAGAGCACCACCAAGTGTCCTAACTTTCAAAGGACCACATACATCAGAATGTACCAAATCTAAAACATGAGATTTTCTAGATGCAATGTTTCTACGGAATGATATTCTGTTTTGTTTACCATGGAAACAATGAACACAAGTTTTCAAAGGCGTACCTTTTATCCCCACTAGAAGCTCTTTCTTGGACAAAACTTGCAATCCTTTTTCACTCATATGTCCAAGCCTTCTATGCCATAAATCAGTGGATGAGTCATTCTCTAAGGTATTCACAACACCCTTGCAGATTTTTGCTTGCATAGTGTAAAGAGAACAAGTCTTCTTTCCTTTTGCTACCACTAGAGAACCTTTGGAGAGCTTCCATTTTCCATTACTGAAATTGTTGATGTAGCCTTCATCATCTAACTTTCCAGCAGAGATTAAATTGAGTCGAATATCTGGTACATGCCTCACATCTCTAAGCAGCAATTTGCATCCAATATTTGTTTCCAAGCAAATGTCACCCATGCCGACAATTTTTGACACATCTTCATTTCCCATACGGACATTCCCAAAATCACCTTGTGAGTAAGAAGTAAAGAAATCAGCCCGCGAAGTAACATGAAATGAAGCTCCAGAATCAATTACCCAATCCGTCTCTTGGCCAATCAAATTAACGCTAGCATCATCACGGATAATCATGAGTTCATCATCGGTAACTACAGCTGTATCAATTTGCTTTTTCTCTGAATTTTTCTCTTTGTTCTGCTCCTTGAACTTGAGTTTTCTACATTCCCGCTTCATGTGCCCTTTCTTGTGACAATAATAGCATTCAACATCCTTTTTTGACATCGAGCTTGAACGACCTCTAGATTTATCACGGTTGTGCGGAACCCTACTCTTACTCCTGCCTCTCCCCCGGTTTTCCATTACAAGTGCCTCGGAGTAAGAAGAACCTGATGATTTTCTTCTTGTTTCTTCATTCAACAAACTGCTGGTAACTTGACTCATTGTTACCACTCCATCAGGTGCGGAGTTACTAACTGTGACCACCAAAGTTTCCCAGCTTTCGGGAAGTGAACTAAGAAGTAACAAAGCTTGCAACTCATCATCAAAAGTAATTTTCATGGCGGCCAACTGATTCACAATGCTCTTAATCTCATTCAAATGCTCTGCAATAGAAGTACCCTCCTTATATTTAGAGTTCACAAGCTTTCGAAATAAAAAGGCTTTATTCACTGCCGTCTTTCTATCATACAAACTCTCCAATTTGGTCCAAAGACCATGTGCAGATTTTTCTGTAGAGACATGATGAAAGACACTATCATCAATCCATTGCCGAATAAAACCGACAGCTTTCCGGTCTAGCTTTTTCCACTCGTCATCTTTCATCCCTTCCGGTTTGCCACTATCACCCTCTATGGGTCCATTCAAATCTTTACAAAATAAAAGATCTTCCATTTTAGTTTTCCAAGTCACCCAATTTGTGCCATTGAAACTAACCATACGTCCAACGTTGCCGTCCATAATTCACACACAGAAATATAACGAATCGGAACCGAATTAACCAATTGCTCTGATACCAGATGTTGGGAAAATAGGCTTTCCCACAAGTGTAAATCAATGGAAGCAATATAAATAAAATAACAGAAAATAAATAAGCACACAAGATTTACGTGGTTCCCTCAAATAACTTGAGGTACATCCACGACGACCGGTAGGTCAGTTTCTTCCACTATCACCAAATCAGATTACAAAGTGGCCAAAAGGCATAAGCCTTACAAACACACCAAGGTGTAAATCACAAGAGGAAAATACCTCACAAAATAAGTGAACCAAATCTCCAAGAACAAACCGCAAGAAACCCAAATATCAAGTGAAGAAATGTTACCCACTTGAAGAACAAATTTGCAGATTTTTCTGGCACCAAAAAGGAGAAGAAGACGGCTGAATTTTTGTTGAACCAAAAACTGCTGAAAATATGTCTTCTTGCCAAACCAACCGAGAATAGATGAACCAAAGAAAAAGGACAAAACTTATAGTCTTTGGTGGCTGCCAAATTCCTTTTTAACTTGAAGACTCCAAACCAAGTCTTATATAAGAGTCCTACACGGGTAAGCCACCAAAAAATTAGCAAATTGATGAGTCTCACAAAGGAGGGAAACCCAACAATTCTCCCCCTCCCGACTTATGTGGAGGATTCGACCATTCCCGCCAAAAGTCGACACTTCNAAGTTTAAATTTTTTTACTGTTTGTCATTACCTTGCCTTTGCAATCTTTTGCAGGGACTTACCGCTCAAGACTTTGAAAAGTCAAGTCAACAAACTCGAAACTTTTTTCAATTTCTTTGCTTTTATATACATACATATCTCTCGTACAAACTGCAAGAAAGGAAATCAACAGTGGAGGGAAAGAAAGTTTGATCAACATGTATGTGACTAAGCCTCTCTCTCACTACATAAGATTTCCAGAAACTCTTTCATCACTCCCTGAAGGACCCAATTCAGGTTATTTGGTAATCCAAGATGTAGAATCATATATTTACTCTTGTTTTGGATTGTGCAAGAGCCGGTTACTCGAAGACCTACCATTCCCTCAGAACAAGATCCAACATGTATCTGATAGTGATAATGATGATGTTGTTGCCTTCATTCCAGTCCTTAATCAGCCATTGTCTTCCAATCATTATTACGCAATAAAGCCTCATGGTAAAGATAAAGGGTATGAATTCTATACCAAACAAACTCGACTTTCTTCTTCTTCTTTCTAACTCTGGGGCTTCTTCTTTGTGGTTTTCATGTGTTATATGTTCTGTAACTTTCAGTATAGCACAAACATAAAGGTTTCTGCATGATAAACCTGACTAAGGCCCATTCATGCATAGTTGTACAGAGAAATTCAACACTGTAGACCAAAATTCATCTATAATAAACCCGCCTCTCACATGTGTTGAAGCAATGGGTTTATATATAAAGTTGGGACAAATTCCTCTAAGCTTAGGCTTAAGCTTTTGGGGTCGGTTTGCATCCAACTTGCATATGAATCCAAATTCTAACAAATTCAGGGTCAATTCTGCAGCAAAATAGAAGCATGAGATCATTAAATTTTCCGATTCAAAACTGTTTTTAAGGGCAGTAATCATGTAACTGATTTAATTTCCAGGATAGGCAATTAGGCAAAGACCAGTTTTGCTGTAAACACCATTTCAATTGCCTTTTCAGGAAAGCATACACTTGTTCACAGGAGCAAGAAATGACCACTTGCTGTTTTTGCCACTGCATCCGAGATGTAAAGGCAAGGCCACTGGATCCAAAAGACATATATCAGCAATATGAGATTGCTTCTTATGAAACATGTTGCAGTGCCAAGGGTTACTTTTATGCCAAGTCGGTAGCACCTAATGGTTTCCCTCCACTCAACTTGAGGAGAAAAGGATGGAAAATTTATGGTAGAACTCCCAAAAACTACAAATTAGGTGAAGCTCAGGGCCTCAATGCTATCCTCCGTACACGCCTTCCAGAATTTAACTTCCCATTGTCCTGTAAGAGCTCTGAAGGCATCGTCGTAGGGAAGTGGTATTGTCCTTTCATCTTTATCAAGGATGGAATTTTGAAAGATCAGATAAAAAGATCGATGTATTATGAGATGACACTCGAGCAAAGATGGGAGCAAATTTTCTCATGTGAGAATAACTTCAGCGTAAGAAACTCTGTGCTTGTTGATGTTAGTGTTCAAACAGAAGTTGTCTCGGTTGCTGACATAGAAGCTGTGTGGAATGAGAGAGAGGTGCTCGATGGGGCGATATGGTTTAGGAGTTTTGGCAATGTGGGAAGAGTAAGTGTGGGATTGAGGGAAGAAATTGTTGAAAGAATGAAATGGGAGCAACAAAGAGCAGACTGGCTAAATGGGGAAAACAGGCAAGCAAGGGTGAAGAGAGTAGAGGACTTTGGAGGGGTTGGTGAGTGGAGGAAATTTGGATGCTATGTGTTGGTGGAGAGGTTTGTATTGAAAAGAATGGATGGAAGCTTGATGATGACTTATGATTTCAAGCACACTCATCAAATCAAAAGCAAATGGGAATGAGATTATGTGTTATCCTGTTTTATAGATATGTCCTCCGGAGTTTGTGTTTGCTGACGAATTGAAACCTTGATCATGTTTTTCTAAAAATTGTTTTACTTGATTACAGATTCACTATACGGAGAAGTTATGTACTAATGTTGTTGAACAAAATTCTGAAAAATGTATTGGGAATTTTGTCTTTATCTACTTTCGGAATCATTTATTCATTTATGCTGAATTTTGGTGGATACATGGTGGAAAACACTGTCATCGATCTATTGACAAATGAATTCAAGGCCTAACGATCAAGCTTATTCCACTCATTATCTTTCATACCTTCTGGTCAGCCATCAACTTCTGTGGATATGAGTTCATATAAGTCTTTGCAATACAAGAGGCCTTCCATTTTGGTTTTCCAGGTCACCTAATTGGTTCCATTCAAGCTAATCTTATGACCCATGTTGTCTTTCATTACTTACATATGAGATTGTTAAAGTATGTGTGACTCATATTTGCTGTGTGCACAATGGTAAGGAGGTAGATGTCGGAGCGGAGCCCGCGACGATATCTGCCATGCGGGATTGATATACTTTATGTATGGAGGGAACGCTGATTAGTTGGGGGTGCAGGGGCAAAGCCCCTGCGGTACGATACATGGATATTTTGTAGATACGTCCGTACTAGGGTTATATAAATAATTAACTTGTAACCCTACTTTGAATAAGGAAAAAAGAACGGCTGCTCGCTCTTGTGGATGTAGGCACATTGCCGAACCACATAAATTTCTGTGTTATTTTCTCTTGCTTTCTTAATTGTTTGATTCTTTATTATTCACCATAATTGTTGTACGATCACAACAGAGATTAACCCAAAGCCAACCCGAGCTCTGATACCACTTTGTTGAGAATTTATTTACTTTGTCCCCATCTGAAAATCAATAAGGAAACAATCAAACACAATAAGCTACCAGAAAATAAGAAACAAAATTTTTTCATTGAATCCCTTCAAGATGAAGAGGAAAAAACAAATAAGACCAAAATCCGTCTAATTTTTATCTGCTGTCAATGAAAGTAGGAGTACAAGTGAGTTTCTCTTTCTAGTCACTAGTAGAAAGCATTAAGAGACAGTATATCATCCTCAGCTTACAAACATAAAACCATCACCTCCAACACATGACAACAAAGAAAGATCTCACTAAAGTGGCTAAACTATTGTCATTCAATAGTCCGATTGACAATTTGAAATGGTAGAAACGCAGCTACATATGAGAAGAATTAATCCACAAAATTTCAGCTCGATCGAAGTAGCATTGAGCTTTGATCAGGAGCAAAGATTGGTCCACACTTCTTCCACATCTTTCTCAAGGGTCTGTCAGGCAAGCTTCTTGGAAGACAAAGAACCTCCATCCATCATTTTTTAATGAGTTGGGTCCAAAATATGCACAGGAGGAATAGCCAACATCTCTGTTACATGGATGTTCTCTAAGTTAATTCTCTTCCTTGCTTTTGTCCATTTTTTTTTCTTCTATTGATCAAGTAGTTCTCTCCTCCCTTGCATGTAAGGTAACCCTACAATGTGTCTCCACGCAAGTATGGGTGTGAATATCCAAATATAAGTGTTACCCAATGTGCGAAAACTGTTACACCAATCTATAATCTTGTGTATGCAGGATCTTACACAATATACATACGAGAACAGATTTCTCCCGTGGTGAACTCGAGTGAGTCAATCAAATGGTCAACCTTGCTATTGGGAACAGCCTGTGAGGTCATGTGGTAACCTGGAACGATAATGGAAGACCCACGTGGATCAACGGAGCGATCCAGTAAGGCTGAAGAAGGTTCCTGGAACAAATAAAGGCAAGTTAGAAGGGCGTCGGAGTGTTTTTCGGCGTATCCCCTCCGACGATCAAGTTAGTATTTGAGAGGGGGGAAGAAGAAAACACTGAGTATAGGTTTTTTGTTGCGTACCGTTTTGCCTTTTGCCAGGAGTATTTATACCTCAAAAACTCATGATTGCTGTCAGTGTGGTCAGTAGGTGATCATTAGGTACTGGCAACATGCGCACTGATTCCTATAAGGAATGTCTTCTCTCTTAACTGTTCGGGACCCCGAGCAATCAATGCGTTGTCATCGGCCTGCCGAATATTTAATGAGCTCTTCTCGGCAAGAGAGTAATAAATGTCCAGTATCAGGGACATTTATTGTCTTTCTCTTCCGAGCCTTACCGCATTAAATGTTGTCTCATCAAGGGAATGACCTAATTAAATGCTTGTTTTCCCAAGTTGTGTGTCAGCAAGGACATTCGGTCTTTTTGTCTCTGATGTGACACAATATGCCACGTGCCCTTTCCCCATTGGTTGTATTTTCTGCCTTCCTGTGCCTTCTGACACCAATTGTGTAAGACGAGGTCATGATGGCTAACCTAGCCTAGCCTAGGCTAGTAACCTGTACATCAATAGCATCTGCGGGAGTAGAGAATGTCATCCTGGACAGCACACCTCAGGACCAACGGAGAGGTACATCTCGGAGTCGAGAGGGAGGTACATATAGGGACCGATGTACCATATCACCCGACCGAGGGATACGTGTCGGTACGTAAACGTACTAGATGTCATTGATCCCTACGACCAGTATCTCGGGGGAGAGGGACTTGTGAACCGATGGGTACATGTCGTGATCACAATAACAAGAATTTAGTGACACCGAAGACACGTGTCTTCATCTTGGAGTACTTTGGAAATGTCTCATCAACTGCCCCCCAGCCTTCGATCTTCTGACACCGAGGACAGGCGCCGTAAGGAGACGAAGGGTTCTATAACAACCTCAGTCGCTTCATCATTGCTTCTGGCCGCTTTCCCCTGCTTAGTACGTCGTGCGCATTAAATGCGCCTTTTCATGCTTCGCGCCCAATGATGGGATAGGTACTATATATAAATGGGCTTCCTCTCTTCTTTTCTCATTTCGTCATTCTGAACTTTCTCCAGAGAGCTCCCGCCTGAAACTTCACCGGAAATCCCTTTCCTTCCGTTCGTCAACTGCCCAACCATTTCACCGGAGTCTTAAGACCAGCAGACCCATCCATGCTTCTGAACTTTTTGGAAGGAGTCGCTTCAAGTTTTCCAGAAAAAACTTCTTTTTACATTCTGGTGAGTGCTAGTATCTTCCCTCTCTTCGTCCTTCTGTCTCTTTGGGTTTTCCGATAACTGGAGGTATTTTCTGGTTGCCACTCAGCGACCAATCCTCGGGAAGCCTCCTGGGGGATCTTCGTGAGAAAAACACCCTCCATTTTTTATCACTTTTTGGAGATGCCTCGTCGTCGCCCTGCCCCCGAGAATCCCGAGGCCAGTTCTTCGAGGTCAGGGAAGTAAAAAGTAAAGGGGGCAAGCAAATTGATAGGTTTAGGGTCAAGTACAACATCCCCTCGTATGTAGGCATAGAGGATTATAACCCGACTGTGCATCTCCGTACCCTCGGGACCGAGGATGAGATGCCCTTCTATACCAAAGCCATCATACAGGGCGGAATTAGGTTCCCTCTGCCCCCTCTACTCCTCTAGTTCCTCTCTCATTTCCACCTCTTCCCCAGACAGTGTTACCTTAATGTCTTTAGGATAATTATAGGGGTCCTAGAGCTCAACAGGCGTCTCGGGGTAAATGTTGGGCTGAACGATATCCTCTTTTATTATTCCCTCTTGAGAGTTATGCCTCAACAAAACTTCTACCTCAAAGCCAGGGACCCGTCCATGTACCTCGTAACTCACCTTCCTGACTCGGACAAGGAGTACAAAGATGACCTACTTATCTTTAAGGGATCTTGGCAGAGAGGTGTCGGTCCCGAGTACAATGGCTTGTTATGCCCTTTGGAATGGAGAACGACAAGTACGTCGGTTTCTTCGGGTCTCATTATTTTTGTTCTTGAGATTTTCTACAAGTGTTCGTAACCCTTTCTCCTCTCTTTTTTGTTTGTGTGCAGACGTCCCTGCTTGGAAAACAGCTCCTCCACCTCGGTCCTTGGTGAACTTCACCAACCTAGTCACTGTTTGGAGTTTTACTGGTGACGACGGGTTCGGCCGGGCTGCCCACATCCTCCTGAATTACACTTCGGATATAAAAAGTTCTCGCAGCTTCCCCAGCCTTTCGAGCCTTCGCGGTGGTCTGAATTCTTCGATCAGGCGATGAGGCAAGAGGACGAGGAGAATTTGGAGGAAGACCCCGACCGGGCTACGGAGGCAGAAGTAGAGGGTGAAGTTGACGAGCTCGGGGTTAGAGAGGATTTGGTTCCTTCAGACACCGAGGTGGGGACTTCGGGGAGAGATTCGTGGCCTGACTTTCACATTCTGCAATCTCTAAACGCCGAGGACGCCCTCGAGATAGCTATGTCCAACACTCCCCGTATTGATCTAGGGTTTATGAGGCAGGCCCTCGCTGCCGGGAGGGGAAGAGGATCAACCGGTGGAGCCCCATCAACAGGGACCAGCGCCACCCCACCTTCAAGAGTCGATGGTCGGGGTCAGGTGCGTGACCAAGCTCCTCAGGTAGAGGAGGAGAGAAGGGTCAAACAAAGGCACGACGGCCTCGGCAGGGGACCCAGGGCCCTCTCCATTCAGCAGTAAAGCGGGAGAGGTCATGGGTTACCTCCTCCCCAACAGCACCTACAGCAACAGCAACGACAGACTCCCCCTCCCCCTCCGCAGACGGTGAAAGCCGCAGAGTGGAATCCTCGAGCTACTGATCACATGAACCGAGTGATCAGGGTCGACGATTCCATTTTGCTGGACCCTCATGTCGCCAATGCAGTGAGTGAGATGCTGCACTTCGATGCCGACATGGCGGCTCACAGGGGGCGATCAACGAACTTGTTGTTTCGCTCTATCATCCAAAATTCCCTAGTGGTAAGTTCATCTTTGCTTCAGTCTCTTTCATCCATTTTTCTTTTTATTGACAAGTCTTTTCCCTTGCAGGCCACCCAACAGATTTCAGTAATTACGGCTCGGTACCATGTGGCCAGGATGGACCTCCA